AACTACACACTTAGAAGCAACACTCTCCAGAATATCTCCAACTACACACTTAGAAGCAACACTTAGATGAAGCAACTAAGCTATATTAGCCAAGCTAATGACAACAACTCTTATATAGCTCCTAAAATCACCACCCACTAGGAATGTTTAACAACTGGGTAGGCCTCTGCTTATTTGCAAACAATAGCTAATTTAAACAGCAATCAATAGCAAGTAACTGACTAATCAAATGCCTTATAATTACCAACAGGAATTCAAACCTTGTGCAATCAGTAACCTTTTCCTACAGATGAATCTTACCTGTAACAGTAGAAAAGAAAGCTCTTAGCACAACTCTTAGACAGTTAAAGCTTCTGTAAAACTCTCCAGAATATCTCCAACTACACATTTAGAAGCAACACTTAGGTGAAGCAACCAAGCTATATTAGCCAAGCTAATGACAACAAGCCTTATATAACTCCTAAAATCACCACCCACTAGGAATGTTTAACACCTGGGTAGGCCTCTGCTTATTTGCAAACAACAGCTAATTTAAACAGCAATCAACAGCAAGTAACTAGCTTAATCAAATCAAATGCCTTATAATTACCAACAGGAATTCAAACCTTGTGCAATCAGTAACCTTTTCCTACAGCTGAATCCAGTGGCGTACACATGACCCATGGGGCCCCTGCAGCGTGTACTGACCCCAGGCCTCACAAGGCCAGCTGGCCGGGCCGCAACACATGGCGGTGGGCACCTGGTCGCAGGGGTTACAGGGCTGCGACCCCTGCGACCGCGGTATGTACGCCAGTGCATGCAGATGCACACACACACTTAAAGGACCACTCTAGGCACCCAGACCACTTCAGCTTAATGAAGTGGTCTGGGTGCCAGGTCTAGCTAGGGTTAACCCATTTTTTCATAAACATAGCAGTTTCAGAGAAACTGCTATGTTTATGAATGGGTTAAGCCTTCCCTTATTTCCTCTAGTGGCTGTCTCATTGACAGCCACTAGAGGCGCTTGCGTGCTTCTCACTGTGATTTTCACAGTGAGAGCACGCCAGCGTCCATAGGAAAGCATTATGAATGCTTTCTATGTGACTGTTGCACGCCAAGAAGCTCTGCTGCGCCGCGGCGCATACAGCCGACGGGGAGGAGAAGAGGAGGATCGGAGGAGGAGAGCTCTCCGCCCAGCGGTGGAAAAAGGCAAGTTTTACCCCTTTCCCCTTTCCAGAGCCGGGCGGGAGGGGGTCCCTGAGGGTGGGGGCACCCTCAGGGCACTATAGTGCCAGGAAAACGAGTATGTTTTCCTGGCACTATAGTGGTCCTTTAAAGGACCACTACAGACACCCAGATCACATCAGCTCAATGAAGTTGTCTGGGTGTCAGGTCCCTCTAGTTTTAACCCTGCAGCTGAAAACATAGCAGTTTCAGAGAAACTGCTATGTTTCACTGAGGGTTAATCCAGCCTCTAGTGGCTGTCTCACTGACAGCCGCTAGAGGAGCACACTGAACGTCCATAGGAAAGCATTGAGTAATGCTTTCCTATGGGCGGTTTGAATGCGTGCGTGGTCGCATTCGGAGCTGAGAGGCTGAGGGATCCTCAGCGCCAAGGGAGTCCGGCGCTGGAGAAAGGTAAGTGCTGAAGACACACACACACTTACAGACGCATACACACTAGCTAACAGACACACACATTTACTGACAGAGACACAGTCAGCGACAGACATACATACACACTCACTTACAAAACATACACTCTCATTGACAAACACACACTCACTAACAGACATCAAACAGACTCACTAACACACACACACTCAGTAAGACAAACACAGTAACACACTCACTAGCAGACACACACACTAACACTCACACTAACTAGCACACACTAACACTCACTCTAACACTCACTAGCAGACACACACACACTAACACTCACACACACTAACACTCACTCTAACCCTCACACTAACACTCACTCTAACACTCACACACACACTCAAACACTAACACTCACACACACACTCAAACACTAACACTAACACGTTTTTTTTTTTTTTTTATTTAATCCCCCCAGCCTCCTTACCTTTTGGAGTGCTGGGGGGATTCCCTGCGGTCCAGTGGTGCTGCTGGGCTCCTGGGCGGGTGGCCGGTCAGGCAGGCGGGCGCGCGGTATCAGTGCGGTGCGCGAGGGAGCTGAAGAGGAAGCACTGAGTGCTCCCTCGCGCGCCCGCCTGCCCGACCGGCCACCTGCCTGCCGGGGTCAGCAGGGCCAGCCTCGGGGGGCCCTGAGGTGACCGGCTCCTGGGCCCCCCAGGGGAAGAGGCTGGCCCTGTGGCTACATACCGGGTCGCAGGGGCGGCCGGGCCCCCTGGTGGGCCGGGCCCGGTCGCAGCCGCGACCCCTGCGACCCTGGTATGTACGCCACTGGCTGAATCTTACCTGTAACAGTAGAAAAGAAAGCTCTTAGCACAACTCAGACAGTTGAAGCTTCTGGAAAACTCTCCAGAATATCTCCAGCTACACACTTAGAAACAGCACTTAGAAGTAGCACCAAGTAACCCATCTCTTCAGGAAAGCTTATGGCCTCCAAGACTAACCTCTACCTCACATAGCTGTCTCTTGCTCTTTCCTAAAGGGCAGCCCACCTTATTTGATTGCAAATTCCTGTCCTACTGTGTTTAAATGGCCTTTAAATGGCCAGGCTGTGGATATAAGAGAGTTGGAGAAGGGTTTATTTCTGCTCTATTTTTTCACTTTGTTGAATATTTGCAATTTAATTGTAGTTTAGTAAATAAAACATTGGCGGCTGGTGAAATTTGAAGATGGTGAGGCGCTTCCCTTTCTGACATGTTTGGCTCTACCCATTTAACCCCATAAGAAGCCCGAAGCCCTGTTGAAAACTAGCTGCATCTCCAGTTTTTAAGAGGAGAAAGGAAACTCTGTTTTTGAGGAAGAAACCAAATCAGAGGATTCTTACTGAGAAGCCTCTGAATCTGTGCTCTCTGTGCTGTCCTGCACCCGCAGTCGGGAAGGACACTGGTCTGAGGTCTATGGAGGAGCAATAGTGAAGAAGGCAGGAGCGGTTGAGTAGAGCAATCCTGCCACTTCTGTTAGCTCTGGGTAGCGAAGATGAAGCAAACATCCCTGGCTGTTTGATTGACAGGCAGGGAGGCGTTTCACAATGTATTTATTAATATGCCGATTTACCATTGAATTCACCACTTTTATAATATGCAGTTAAAATGGGATACTCCATTTGCGTAAAACACTTTAGCAAACTGTGGAGTGGTCTTTTTATACTGAATGAGGGTGTCTGGTTTCCCATAGCCCAGCCCCCACTGGAGGTGTGGCTAAGGCATAGATAACACACTTCCTTGTAGCCATAATGATTCATAGCTGCAATGGGCACTATGATAGGCTGAATGTGGTCAGCTAGCAATCTCAGCCAGTCACAGGTGGCCATGCTTTCCCATTGGCCCAAGCAGCGATGGGTTGCTAGGCACACTTGTTTAGCATTAAACCATTAAAACAATGGAAGGCTCCAGACACTATAAGCACTACAATGAAATGAAGCAGTTATGGTGCCTACAGTGTACTTTTACATTATTTCTGTTACAGATCACACAAGGAATAAAATGTACAGAGAAGAGTGTAGATATTATAATTATTGGCATGTATATATGCAGTACTTTACATTCTTATAAAGAGGGGAATTTAAAAGCAATTGAGACAAACTATTACAAATTTTGACAGAAAGCATAGGTTAATGAGGACCCTGCTTGAATGAGTTTAGATAGTATGCTTACAGACAGAGATTGACAGAAGAGAGATATATGTAGGGGTTTATTTCACTAAGCTCTAAATTGATGCAAATTATATAATTTAGTAATCAACCATTATAACAAAAACAAAGAGCATGAGAAACTGACAAAAGCTTAGAGAAACTCAGTAGCTTGTCCTTCAGTAAACCCCCTGCCCGGCTCTCGAAGTAGTCTTTCCTCACTTGTGCCATTACAAAAATATAAAAAAGCCAAGTAAAAAACAGTGTCAAGGTGTATAGTTCTATGTGCTGTAAAACACCTAGATGGGATGGGATTCATTCACACATACAAGAAATTAATACAATAGAATATATTATAAAGAGAACCTATTCCAAGGCTTATCAGACTGATCTAACCAGTAAGGGCAGTCCAGAAACAAAATGCCTGCAAGTTCTCTCTGCACGAGAGATACAGCAGCCCCGGACGATTGTTTTGGCCTTCTTTGGGCCTCATCAGTGAGGTGTATCTGATACCACTCAAGGCACAGTGAGCAAGGGGTCCACGTATGGACCATGTCTTGTTGTAATGGCACAAGATGAGCTAAAAGTAGCTCAAGATCTGAGCAGGACCCACTGAAGAGCAAGCTACTTGAGCTGTTTTCTGTTCCCAGCATCCTCTTGCATACTGTGCTTTTTTTTTTTTTATTAATCATTATGAGAGCAGCAGAATAATAATAATCACTTCAATGAAATGGAGTAGTTATGGTGCCTAGAGTGTCCATTTAATTCCATATACAGGTCTGTTTTAAACAGGGGCCTTTTTAAAGATCCTGAATAAAATAAACTAATCAATTCGTCAATTGACAATTAGTTTTTTATTGGTACATGATGGACAAAGTGACTTTTTTTTTATAAATAAAAGAACACTGATTCAGTATGAAAGCATAATCAAATTGTCAGATAAAACAAATGTAGCAATTTATTACCACTTAGTCCATGTTAATGAAGGTCGCAGTTCGTAACAGAAAGTCAGAAAACATAAATTTATGGGGACATGATAGAACATGCGAGCTTAGTAGAGTTTACATGGGTGTCATATTCTTCTGATTCGGCAAGTCCAGCAGAGCTTAACGCGTGTGTGTACAAGGTTTGTAAACGGTTTAGTGGTCCAGAGAGCCTGGAGAATAGGGAATGTTGCCTACACATATGCGCTATACAAGTCAATATATACTGTATGGACAGGACGATGCAATCATTCGGTTAGCTGCTGAATAACAATTAGGATGTAATCTTTATCTGAAAAAAAAAAAAAAAAAAAGAGACAAAATGTCATTTAGAATCCAACACAAAAGGATCAAGATAAAACAGATACTTTGCTTGTAGGACAGTATAATTGTTAGTAGTTAGCTTTATGTTGCTCTCTCTGCTAAATCCGACTCCTGTCTCACTGGGTTACTGCACCCTATTTTCCAACACTTATCAAAGCACAGGGATGGAAACTTGAAACCAAGACCCAGTTTGGGACCGTCACATTGTGGGATTAAATCATGCATTTCTTAAATTCCCTTTTAAGCAAAGATCTCTTTAATCCAAGTGCTTTTGGACTACAATTTACAACTTGGATCAGGCTTACATGTAAAGTATACTGCTGTCTTGGCTGGAGCAAAAATTAAAGTATTTAACTTTAAAAACAAAGGATACAAAGTTTTGCTCACCTTTAACCACTGAAGACGCCAGGCGAGGACACTTTAAACCTCGGACCCACAAGGAAACTAAGACTGCATTAAGCAAGCCAGGACAAGTACTCACGATGGATACAAAAGCATTTATTCGGCACCTTAAACCACAGGGGGATCACAAAAAAGTCCTTATGCATGTCAGACAGCTTGTTCCTTAATCATAGGAATGAACCTATGATTAAGGACTAAGAAGTCTGAAATAAGGACTTTTTTTTAACCAATCACCCCTGTGGTGTTTAAGGAGCCTAATAAACTTTTTCATTTCCAGCGCTTGTCCTGGCTTGCTTGATGCAGTTTTCATTTCCTTATAGTCTACATTGAATTAATGCTTTATTGGGACTGATAATGCATGTCTAAGGCCCAGGTTTTCTTGATTCTGATGCAAATGGAGATCTGTGTGCATAAAACCGTCCTGCCCTGGTGCAAGTTTATGAGCAGCCCATTGTGCATTCACTTGAGTGTTATATTAAATATTGGTATAGTGAATATTTCAGGTAAATTTAGCCCAACAGGCCATCCCAACAGGCGAAGGTTCGACAAGACAAACCAGAATTTGGGGTCCAGTCCCGCCATCCCAGGTTTATTCCAGTGTACCCACATATAGGGACACCAGGATAAATGACACCAATGAGCAAAAAAAGTATGTTATTAGAGACGCTTGCACAAAACGAGTAAACTTAGGGCACAGGCTACCCTGAGTGAGGCTGACACATCCCATCCTTTGCCAGTCTGCCCACCCCTCCCCTGATCCATATGTCACATAGCTGGGAAGTATGTAATAAATGGTGGGACCTACAAATGCTATCAGTCAGTTCTCTTTGCCCCTATGGGAAGCAAACTGATGTTCATTCTAAAAAGCAAATAAATATATAAAGGCCCAACTACAAATCTCCAGGAGTTGTAAATGATAAAACCGGTCACTCATGCAGAATTTAAAGAAATTGACATAGATATTTTTTTGAAGTAGGTAAACAAAGATTGTGGTGCTGTAACTAAATTTCAGTTTAGTTTTAGCCTTTTGACTAAAAAGTCAATTACGCTTTAGTCGTATTTTAGTCATCTGAATTATTTAAGTTTTAGTCAACTAAATCGCCAGTAGATTTTAATCAACACGACTAAAATCGAATGGGTTTAGTTAAAGCCTCTATATGTCTCTTTTGCCCCTTCCCCAGCCCCCATTGTGTCTCTGTGTGTCCTCCCAGCCCCTCCATGTATCTCTCTCCCAAGCCCTGGTCTGTCTATTTTGCCCCTTCCACAGCCCCTCTGTGCAGTGTTAAATTTGGCGGCAAATTTCAATTTAGTTTTAGTCATAGTCTTTTGACCAAAAAGCCATTTTAGTTTTAGTCATCTGAATTGTTTTAATCGACTAAATCTCAAAAATTTTAGTCGACTAAAATTGTTAGTCGACAAAATTAACACTGATATACACATACATAAATATATATAATAAATAAAATAGCTGTCCCCTCCTGGATTACCTGGAGCAACCATTATCTCATTTTTCTTGCACCGAATCCGGAAGAATGTCAGATCATTTTGAGGGTCAATATCTCGCACTGAGCAGCGTGCTTTCATTGCGAGTTGATGCATTAGACCAGCATATTGCACTGTGGTTGCATTATCCATTGTACTTTTAATTGGGATGCCTAGAATAAAAGACACTAGGTTTGAGTCATGATATAAAAAACCTAGGAGGAAGAGCAGCATTTAAACATTGCTCCTGCCTCTGCACTAACTCCATGATCAGAAGTATGATGGCTGTCATAACCATAGAAATGTGGTATTAAATAGGCACCATAACCATGTCATCTCACTGTAACTCCACACAGTAACTCTCACTGTAACTTATATTAATGATGGGCACCAGTGACAGAACGCAAGTAAAGAGAGAGAGGTCAGGCTGCAGATGCCTGGCGACCCTCATTCTGTGTTGAACCGTTTAAAAACAGATTTTACACACTAAAGAGTGGGCCAGGCACCATAACCACTTAAATTAGACAAAGTGGTGATGGTGCCTATAGTGTCCTTTAAATAGAATCGTATCATTCCTCGCTTCAGATATTGTCTAACCTGTTCCTCAGCTCCCCTCTCTGCGATGTAAAGGGTTAAACCCTTTATTCACTTACCAGATTATATGGCAAAAGTTCCTCGGCGCTGGTCGTCGACCTCCTCCTCCATCATCATCTGATGGGGGCCATAATATGCATGCGCGGTGAGCGCATTAGGCCTTCCCCACTGGAAATCATTGCCTCAATGGTTTCCTATGGGGTTTTCTCTGACGCTAGACATCTACATGCAGCGCGTGAGTACATCCAGCATCGGTTCACGGAATCAAAATCAGTGGTTATCTGGTAAAGGGGACAGAGACACGGCACCCAGACCACTTCATTGAGATGAAGTGGTTTGGATGCCTATAGTGTCCCTTTAACACTTTTACAAACCAAATATATTTCTCATTAACTTTTTTTCAACAAAGATTTCAAGAATCAGTATGTTTCCAACATTTCTTGGTTGGGTTATTATGCACTGAATGTGTCTGCATTCAGGGATTTAATCTGGTCCAAGGACTGAGCAAATTTAGGTGCCAGATATTCAAAGAACCAATTTCTTTAGGTTCAATACATTACATCCTACAAATATCTCTTTTACACAGCAAGTCATTTGCACAATATATTCTGTTTCCCGAAATGTCCATCCTTGTTCTTAGAACACAGTCTCACCTTCTGAATTTACAATAATAATTCCTTGCACTCCCTTCTGTCCCTGGATCCTCTTTAAAGTTTCTTCAACGTCCGCCTGCAGAGACAAAACATAGAACGTGACAAAACAGCGAGTACAGTCAAGCATTTCTGGTTTAATTTGTGGCTAAGTTGCCCACCCCAACTTACTCATCCCCCGCTGCTACTGGCAGACAAGCATCCTGCACCGGTATGGGGCGAAAAACCAAGACAGTACATACAGGTGAGAGAAGAGATACATACAACATAAGTGCCATGCTCCAGCGCCCTGCGGCCCACAAGAAGGCAGCCATGCCGGAACAAGACACTAGTTCCACAGTCTCCCTAGCTCACCTGTCACACCCAAGTACTGGCAGACCCTGATGCATTAACTACAGCCAGCAAGCTGGACATTCAGAATCTCCTGCTAGAATTGAAGACCTAAAGAGGACTGAGGTTCAGGTGGTGACCACTCGAGTGCAAGCCTCTGAGGAGGACATGTTAGATGTGCAGCAGGAGGTGAAGGGACTAAAGGAAACTGTGCTACAACTCCAGTCCTCCCACTGCACCTTGCTCACGAGGCTGGATATTGCTGAAGACTGCTGTCGCCGAACCAACATAAAGGTTAGAGACATCCCTAACACGATTGGCCTGACCGCATTACCACATGCTCAGGCAAAAATGTTGATGTTTGAAGGGTTCTTCCTCATCTGCAAAACCAGATAAGCACCACATTTGGCACACTGAGAGGTAATTTTTCGATGTCAATCTCTACCAGATAAAAATCATGTTAAATCCCAACTCAGTTTTTTCCAGGATTTAACCATGAACACACTTCAATGGAGGAGAACGCTGGGTCCGGTGACCCACCGACTCCGGGAAGCAGGAGTTGACTATCGATGGACACTACCAAAAACCTTGACAGTTGTGCGGCACCACCATGAGACTCTCCTCTATGTCGGAAGCAGACTCATTTTTCCAAGCTCTTGTGCTCTTGTTGGAGCCAGTGACCCCAACATCGCTCACATTGGACCCTGCGAAGACCACCCCTCGCAAAAGGTGAGCACCGGTAGCAGCAACCTGAACTGAAACTAAGCAAATAGGGCATGAGCGTATATGTTTTGTTTTGACTTTAAAGTTTCAAAGCCGTTTCTATTTTCTTTCACATGCCTATTAGTTTCTTTAGTATGCTGAGCCATAACCAGAGGCTGTATAAGCTTGTTGTGGTTTTTCTTCGCTATAGCTCTCACATTTATTACACTCCCCCTCCCGTGGCCACCTTGGTTAGAGGTCTTTAATCATAATTGATACTGTGTATGCAGGTCTGTGGCCAATATTAAGGTGCATCGCTGTCTAATTGGCGACTGTCTAGCCATATACTGCTCCCTACTGAAGCCTCCGAAGTCAGGGTAAGTATTAGATACTGAGTGTTTTATTCTTGCGGGTATGACCTGAATACTCCGGGAACGGGAACAGTTTTTAGTTCGGACCAGTGTTGTTTTTTTATATGTCTTTGAAGTGAATTCATAGTATAGAGAGTTAGACCCATGGCATAGTAGTGTCATCTCATCATCCCTTATGTCATTATTATATATATAGAAGAAAAAAAAAGAGGTATGTCTCGTTTCAATGCTTGGTAACATGACCGAACCGTTGTCTCTCTTTAATTGTCATAAGAGACAAGCCTATTCTTGTTGTGTTATTCATCTATCTCAATAAAAAAAAAAAAAGAGAATGACAAAAATATAAAATAAAGATTTGATCTTTATGAAATACTCATTTTAGATGCGGAGGTCACAGAGTCGCTTTAATATACATTTAAAAGAGAATGGAGAAGCAGTAATTACAATGCTCCTTTAAGTTACATTCTGTATTTACACATGGATTTGTCATTGAATGGAAGGAGTATTTACATATTGTACTGCTATCGTTTGGACTGATTTTCATATCATCGTTTTCAGATGTCATATAAACAATTCCATCTACCTCATATGTTATACTAAAAGAAAAACAATGGATTAGTTTTAAAGCACATGTACAATAACAAATATATATACCGAGGTACATTTCTGCAAAGAATAATAATAATATTTCATCTATACATAGGACTAGCCTAATAGGTAGACAATATAAAACTGAAAAAGGTATTTTAATTTACATTTTTGTTGTGACCACAGATTTTTCCTGTATGCTATTTCTGTGGAAGAGATGATAACGGTAGGCTTTAACTATTTAGTCTCTCTGAAAATAAATATGTAAAATCTTGTATTTTAGTAATCTTTTGCATAGCTAGCAGAACAGATACATTTAGGCACACATACCAAAAGATATACTATATTAAAAACCTACAAACAAAGCAACTAATTACACACAATGCAGGATGCAACCTGGGATCTGGACCCAAGGATTGAGACCCCACTATTAAATGATGGTTCCCATCTAGAATAGATCCCTGGACGTCTCTCATCCAGACTCAAGTGTGGCTTGTGCCACCAGACACAATATTGCCAACTTTCTTTGCGGTGTCTATACGGTGCATCTAGTGGGGCAACGGTGTCTGGTAGACATGCTGAATGCGGTGTATGAAAATCTGGTGACAGCAGCCGCCCCAGGATACGGTTATCCATGAACTACACCAGAGTTAAGAAGATCCACCTTGTTTTTCTCAACACAAAATCAGTTTTGGGCAAAAAAAAAAAAAAAAGTGCTGTCTGGGGTATCTACAATGAATACACTGCAGGAAATAAAATGATTGTTTAATCAAGAAGGAGCTGTCCTTGATTTCTTCATTAAAATCCTTTCTGCAGCATATGAATTCTACATTCAACATGGCAGCACTTCATACCATATACTACTCTACAGCATAGAAGAAATGTGTCCCTAGATAAAGGGTGGATCTGGCATTCCCTAATTACACAATGACACGTTTGTTGAGCAGTATGTAAAAAAAAATCCTTAAAAAAACCCAATAGACAATATAGCTCCTATGTAAATATTGCAATCAAAGTGCACAGGGAGGGTCACATTATTGTCCTGTGTTTCAAACACTAGAGACAAATGGAGACAGTGAGACAAACACTGGTCTCCACTTCCATACAGTGATGTCTATGGGATCGGCCATTTGCTCGGAGACCATCAACATAGAACGCTAATAGGTGTTAATGCAAGTCTCTAGTGTTTAGATCTCCAAGCTGAAGCCTGCGGAATACTCGCTCGCCCATTGCAGACCGAGCCAATCAGGGCGCGGCCTAGTGACTTCGACCTGCTCAGCACTAGACAGGCGGCTGCCTGGTATCACCGGTAGTGAAATGCCCACCCCTGCCAGTGCCCATCTTCTGGTACCCCAGACACAGCTCACCATCTTTGCAGCCTCACTCCACTGTCACCACAGCGAACCACTGCGCATGCGCCACCAAGCGGCCGAACCCACATCTGCCCCACCTCAGAGAACATAATCTAGGGGCGTGGCTAGCTTGCAACATAGAATGGGCAATATAGATACCTGCCAAGTGTCCCTGTGTAGGAGGGAAAGTCCTAATTTGGGGACAACATCCCTCTAAGTATCTCCATGTAATATCTAAAATAAATGTGTTTAGAAATTAGTCTATGTAATTAATATATTAGTCTTGGTCTAACTTATATTTTAGTTGCAACAATTATTAGGAAGTCTCCACCCATTTATTGTTAAGATTCTATCTTGATAATTGTTGGTTTGGTTTCATGTTCAGGTGAAAGGGGGGGAAAGGTATTCCCTCACGGGTGTCTAGAGCCGCCACTACTTTTTAGACACTTCTTAAAGCGCTTTCTCACACACTTACTCCTTGTGAGTCTTGTTTTTTTTTTTTTTAAATGACACATTTATACCTTGTGTGTGATCACAGCTGCTACCATAAAATATGTCACTATTTAAATTTTAAAAAAAAGTTGCATGAATATTGATGAATTGTTTACTATAGAAGAAGAAAGCGTGTTTAATCAGATTGATCAATTGGAGGAAAAATCAGTTTCTACTTGCCAAAAGAATTTAGAAAGAATGTTGGGTAAGAAAATGGAAAGGGAATGGGAGGTAGCAACCCTAGAAAAGTATAGTAAAAAAATATTACCCCTAGAGGGCTAAGATTTTACAAAAATCCTTGCTTTGATCAAGACGATGATACCTTTGTGACTGAATGGAATCAGGGCCGGTGCAAGGATTTTTGCCACCCTAGGCAAAATAAAAATTTGACCCTCCCCCCATGTGACATCACAATGCCCCACCAATATGATCTGCCATATGAACTAACACCAGTGCTGCACACAGTGTGTGTTTACATTAAAAAGCCTGAAGGGACCGGCTATAGACACCAGAACCACTTCATTAAGCTGCAGTGGTTCTCGGGACTATAGTGTCCCTTTAATGTGAGGTAAATTAGAGATTAGCGTCACTAATAATATACTAGATTGCCTACTTACAACCAGATGAAGATGATGATGGGCTCTAGCTGCAGTTTGGCTCCACTGGTCTGGTGTAGAACAGGATCTCTGGAAGCTGTTTACAATTGTGGTCACAAAATTCAATGTTCTGGGAGAACGAAAAGCAGCTCCATTTTTTGGGGCCCCTTACACAGCTCAAGGTCTGGGCCCCAGGGCCTGACGGTGAATATGCCCATAAGCCCCACCCATAAGTCCACCTACATGTTCCACCCATGAGTCCGCTCACAGGGAGTGGAGTGTGTAGGGGATGTGTTACGTGTTATTGTAGAGGATCTAATGTGTAGGGATACCAGTTTGTGTAGGTGCAGTGGCGTACTAAGAGGGGGGCGGGGGGGGCGGTCCGCCCCGGGTGCCAGCCGGGTGGGGGGTGCCATGACCA